CATCGAGATCCATTCCTTATCTTCTTCTTTCTTCTTCCTTCCTTCCTTCCTTCCTTCCTTCCTTCCTTCCTTCCTTCCTTCCTTCCTAATACACTTGTGCAGGTTTCTCTCCACATCTCTTTCAAACACTTCCTGTGTTCTTCCACACAGCTTTCTTCAGGGATCTTGCTCAATATCTCCCATTTTGTCTTGATGGCTGGTTGCCGTGAACATTTTCTCTGTAGTTTCGTCCTTCAGTTCACTTTCTGTTCTGGGTGTTGTACTTGAACTGTGGTCGTCTATCACCAACTCCCTTGAATTGAAGGTTTTCAACTTGATTTTGAAGCTCGGTTCCTTGCACTAGATAGTGAGTGGTGTGAACCTACATCTGCTCCTCTTCTTGATCTTGTGTCAAGTAGGCTGACTGTGTCTCCACTTTCTTGAGATTGAGATGAAGCTGATGTGATTTTTAGTGTGTCGTGGTGTCTGGTGAAATCCATGTTGCTCGATTTGTGGATATCCATGTACTTGAACACACTGCCTGGCCTCCAATCACCAAATCGTTGAATGCACAGAATTCTGCAAACAATTCTCCATTCTCGTTCATTATCTCACCGACTGCTTCTCGACCCATGGTTAGTTCTCTTCCTGTGTTGTCCGCTCCCAGTTTGGCATTCATGTCGCCCATTAGAATGGATTTTGATGTCGCCAACTGAGATCTTGTCCAGTGTTGATTGCAGTTGTCTGTAGAATTCCTCCTTTTTCTCTTGATCTGCATTATTTGTAGGTGCACAGTGTAGCATTGTATGATTGTGACCTTCCTTCCTTTTGAGTTGAACCTTGCTGTCGTGATCGTGGTTGTGGAGGAGATTGGTTCCTACTGCATGAGAGCCATAGACTGAGTATAGTCAAGAATATCTGAAGATTATGTGGATGATCTTGGTTGTGTTATTTTCTTTGAATTAGATGGTTTAATCGTGGGACTTTCATTGTCTGTCTTGCCAACAGCATCAGGACTAATTTCAATGTGAAGTGAGCTGTCAATATGTCTCTGTGAGTGGTTCAGTAGCCTGTTCTGACGAACTGGTGTGCGATTGGTTGTTTCCTTTGACTGTTAATAGATTTTGAAGAAAATCTTTTGAATATAGGAATTTTCTAGTACATATTTTGGCTTTATGTCAAGTTTCCATCCCTAATTGGACAGTAGGCATTAGACTTCATTAGGTAATTAAACACAATGTAATCTTTTTTGAAGAATTAGCAGTATAATAGTTGATTAATAGGCAACAATGGATTTGGTAGGAAAGTACGACTATCAGAAAGACTAGCTTAACTTAACGTTGTAATAAGTTACGATGGTTATAATTATCTTTCTGTAGAATATGAAGAATTTTTTTAGTACATCGATTATTCAATAAAATTGGTTCTGTAGCAAAAAGTTACTTGGGTGATAACATACAAGGACAAGTCTTTTATCAAGTTGGTATTGATCATGAACTGACGTCAATTAAAGGAACATAGGAAACCTGGAAGTCCTCCAGGCTTTGGACCCGCGACCTTTAGGTTCCATGGTCAGCGTATTAACTTTGAGCTAGTCACTGTGTCGGAATCCAAAGGTCCATATTTTCAACTTCTATCAGTTCACGATATAGCGCGACCGCCACCCAATATCATCGTTGAATATTTGTCCTCAAGGCCACCAGGTTTGGATTCCGATCCAGTGGCTCAATGGTAACGTGCTGGCCACGGAACCCGAAGGTTTCGAGTTCCACCCCTGCGGGGTCGTAGGGGAGCACTGCTGAAGAGTCCTATACTAGTGGGACGAAACAGTTGTCTAGTACTCTCAGGTAGGTCTCCAATGTTCCTCCAATTGATGTCAGTCGACGATGAATACCAACTTAAAGCATTTCTAAATCCCCACAAACCCCGCAAATACAAGTGTTTTAGCCTGTGCTCAAAGGAAGACTTAATCATACACTGCTCACTATGATAATATCAATTGTCACAAGACTTAGGACTGTTAAATTTCCGTAACTTCACATCATTTTGGACTGACTGAGTAAGATCATGGACAGACTGATAATCCCCCCCCCATAGCATGTTAACTCGAAAAGATATTTCTTAACTGGATATCATTTTTGTCCTAAATGATAAAAGCAATAAACTGTTAAGGTTTGCTATGATCAACAATGAATATTCATCATCAACCTCTCAAAACAGATTTGTTCACAAAGTGTTATACTGCCAATTGACAGTGGCTGAATAACTAAAGTGCTCACTGTGAGACCTAAAGGTTCTGGGTTCGATCTCTGATGGAGTCTAGTGGTTGAATATTGCTTGGCAGCCTCATATAACTTTTCATTGTCTTCAGGTTTAGAATAGTTCTCCAACTAATGTTAGTCTGTGGTAAATATTATCTTGAAGTTTATTACTGATTCGTTTATTCCTGCAATTTTCGAGAATTTTAAGTGTCACAGAGAACTTTAGATTAGTTTCACTAAGTGTGAGAAATGTGATAATTACAAAGTTGATTTATCTATACTACAAATATGATGGAACATAATCCCATTTAAGGCATTATTTATCATAGAGTAGGAGAACCATTGAAAACTTGGGAATACTGGACAGTTATTTCGTCCTACTACGAGACTCTTCTGCAGCGCTCACATATCACAACAAATAATCAACGATTGGATTGGAAGAAGTAGGAGAATGTGGGCTGTTAGATTCTGACTCAGTAGCTCAATAGCTAAAGTATTCATTGAGAAACCTAGAGGCCCTGGGTTGCAGTCATGTTAGGGTGGTGAGTGCGTGTTCCTGAAGAGTTCCACACTAAGACGAAACAGCTACTTCTCAAACTGATTTAAGTCTATAATGAATACCAAATTGAAATCAATAAATCACAACAAACCTTGAAAGTACTGCATTTTGGTTAATTTATTATATATACCATACAGTGAATGGATTGTGCTCTTACGTCATCTGAAACTTTCTTACTCTTTCCTTAATTGTTAAAACGGAGTAAAGCCCCTTTACTTCTATTAAGCCTAAAATCCTAGCTGAGAGATTGACAATCTGTTTTATTTTGGTAAACTTATTATTCTGCCTTGGATACTTTTCTTTCATGAGTTTATTCAACTTTAGATTTTTTAAAGACTGGTAGTACTGTATAGTTATTTCGTTCTAATATGGACTCCTCATCAGTATGAACCTAAAAAACTCACCAGAAATCGAATCAAGAACCTTCCGATTTCATGGTGAACAAGTTAGTTGTTCAGCTAGCCGATTGAAACCTAATCGTTCATAGTTTTCTACTTCTTTCAAAGAAAATTATCTTATTAAAACTTTTTTTAAAAAACATTTTCCCCAAAAACTAAAAGGGGATAAGCAATATTAACATGAATAAAAAGGAGAAATTGTAAAGACAAGTAATTAATTTTCGATAGATGAATGTGTATTTGTCAAGACTGAAAAAAAAAAACAACAAACAGAAATATTTATTGAAAGCGAGAAGATCAACTTGTAAGAATAGGCTTAATTTGGATCGTATGTTATCTAATATAGACAGATTTAAAGTTGTGAGATAGTAATAATTCTTAAGATGAAATAATTTAACCCTTTCTGTCATTTGAGTTTAACAACTGACAGTTGGGAGAGTTAGGAGAGTCATTGAAAAGTTAATTAACTTCAAGTGAATAACCCCATAGTTACAATCTAACTGATATCCTAAGGTAATAGGATAAATAATTTTGTCTAAGAAAGAAATTAAATTGTTCTAGACCTTATATTATTCCATAACTGTGTTCGATACTGGTTAGAAACAAGGAAAAGCGAGTAATAATTCTAAACTTATAAGTAGGATTCTCTTGGAATTGTTTTCATACATTAAGTTGGATAAGAAATCAACATATTTCTTTTCAAGTTAGTTTTTCATCATAGACGAATATTAGAAACCTGAGAGCACTGGACAACTGTTTCGTCCTAGTGTGAGACTTCTCAGCAGTGGGCACCAAGAACCTACCCTCCGGGGCTCGAACCCACGACCTTAAGGTTGCGAGGCCAGAACATTACCAGTGAGCAAGCCACTGTGTCGGAATCCACTGGTCCATATTTCCAACTCCTGTCAGCTCATGAAATAGTGTAACCTCCATCCAACGTTTTTGCTGAATAACTTTCCTCAAACAAACCTCCAGAAACGACAGATTGAATTAGTCTAGCTTCTTGAAGTTCCAACGAGAAGTCGTGACCAGAAGTCTCAACGAAGTTGAACATGAGGACAGTCACTCAACGACGACATTGAATGGAGGTTACGCCACATCGTGAACTGACGGAATTAGGAAATATGGACCACTGGAATCCGACCCGGTGGCTTAATCGTAACGTGCTGACCATGGAAACTGAAGGTCCTGGGTTCGATCCCGGGGCTCTAAGGTTTCCGATTTTTCTCTGGCTGATATCAGTCCATGATGATTTCTGACCTGAAAGATGAAGCTAATTTTAGTCTGAAAGATATTTAGGGTAATGATCATTAATGAAATCTAATCACCACATTTTGTCCTGTATTCAACTTTGATATCACCAGTGAGTATCATTGTTATTTGTCCCTTGGGTTCCTAATGGAACAGACGGCTTAAGTAGCACGTCGCTATTTCACTCTCTTCTCTCAACTATTTACAACCTGGCTCCACAACTACCCATAAGCTTTCATTTATTCCTCACACCATCTCCTCCATGTCACCCTCGACTCACACGCCAAAATCGTCATGTCCCATTTGGGTTACACTCGAGTACCTGACCTGATCTGGCCTGACGCGTGATGTCCCCAAACCGTCTACCTTCTCAGTGTATGTCCAATCCATCTCCACTTCCCTCTTCTGTATATTTGTTGGGCGATAGGTTCTTGGTTGGTTGTGAAAAGGAAAAGTAGACTTTAATATCTATATGCCCGTGAATATTTATTTGATAATAATAATAATAATAATAACAATAATAATAAAGGTTCTGTTTGTATTTTCCTTTAGGTTTGGTTTCAAAATCGTCGTAGTAAGGAACGACGTATGAAACAACTGAATGCACTTGGAACACGTAGATCATTTTACAGAAATCCACGACGATTACGTGGAATACGATCAGGTATCCTGTCGAATGACCTGAATTCAACAGGTCCACCTGATCTGTTGAACAATCCAACTTATCATGAATACTTAATAGGATCTAGTCCAGTAAGTGATATTTACTATTATCATTATTATTTTATTGAAAGTCATTGTTATATGAGTTTTAATTGTGAAAATTAAAAATAATTTGATCAAAACAAACAAAGAGCTGAGAAAAAAACACCCCTAAACTTTAATTCTATTCCACCCATCAGAAGTACATGAATAAGTTGAAAAGGTCGGGGTGACTGATTGACTTATGAGGCCAAGGTACTGAACAGGTGATAATTTCACTGAATGATGTATTGATTCTTACTAGTCATAGGATCCTGTTTCGTGATATACGAAGTCTGATGATGTTAAGGACAATGAGATGAATTTATGTTGCTTTGTTATTGATTCATAATAAGCAGGAATTATGAAGATTAGTGCTCTCTCTCTGTCGATTACTTTTACTACTTTATCACTTAGACAATTTCTTCAGAAGTCAACATCAATTTTAATACATGCAACTAGCTATATAAGAGACAATTCAGTGAAAAGTTAATTTTTATTTCAACAGTTCAGTTTTACACTTAAACAATCCTCTATAAGTAGCAGATAATTAACAACAAAAAAACACAAATAATGGAGAAGACTAGTGGGTTAATATGAGACTAATGGCTGTTTGGCATTCTTTGAGTTTTGATACTTTGTCAGGACCTAAGTTTTGTCCTAACTGGGACTCATCGTTTGGATGCATATGCATCCCAGTGAGCGATGATATTTCCACTGACGTTCGGTTCCAGTACCCATCGCTTCAAACACTAGGCCACCGGGGAGCGAAATCTACTAACTGTGTAACGGGTATCAGTTGTTCTTTATTGATAATTGATAAGCTTTTCATGGGTCATATTGAGCCATGAGTTACAAAGTGGATGTATTCACATTTTTCTCAAAAGGAAACAGTATACTGTTCATAAAGGGAAGAACTTCACTATATTGCTTACTGAAGGTGATGTCCCTGAAGGGGTTTTACTTTTTCCTTTTTTGTTTTCTTTCGTTTTGCATGATTTAACTTACTCTGTTGAAACTAATTTTATTCAGTATGTTGATGACTTGACGGTGTCTATTCCAGTCAACTCTCATTTACATTGTTCTCAATTAAATGGATTCTTGTCTCTTGCTGACCAATGAATGATCTCTCTCATTTGATCTCAAGTTGAACCCTTCTCAATGTCAGACTGTTAATTTCAGTCTCAGATGTAAACAAGACTTGTGTGAGCTGTTTAAGTTCTATGGCGCCTGTTGCAACATTGATAGTATTTGTGCAGAGAGTAAATCGAATATCAACTGTCTTGGATTGAGTTTTACTTCTTTCTGATCTCTGTTGGTCGTCTCATATCCTGTTGACTTGTAAAGAGAATCTGGTATAATGCAACTACTACTTCTCCTGCTAATTAATTCCTGCATTCTACCTATTCTTCTCTATTGTTCCCCGTTGGTCTTTCCTGGTCTACTACTACTAAGAAAGGACTGTGTTATATTGTGTATGGTTTAAAAAGGCGTCAGTCAGTAGAGTGAGTGATGTGCCTCCATCCCAATTGATAAACATTTAAATTCCAGCAATCAACCAGCTGCAGTAATTTTAACTGACAGTGAGCATCCACTTCATTCACAGTTGTCTCCTTGTATCTCCTCTCAGAGAGGACGAGAGAGAATTACATCAGACTATACATTCCTGATGTTAAGTTCATGAATTCGATTGTGCCTTACCTAGTAGGTATATTATGTCGAGAAATCAGTGTTCCAACAGAACTCACATATCAACTTTGCAACAGTTAATAATCTCATTTCAATAATTTAAATTAACAATGTAAAATGTTCTCGTTATTAATATCCTTTACATAACTTAAATTTTTATGATAAAACAATTCGAAATGTTGTAAAGGAGTATATATGTCTGCATATATTTTGTTGTTGTTTCAATATATCATGCTGAGAATACCAAATTGTATCACAAATTGTTTGGAATTATTATTACTATACTAGTTCGAATCCTGTACACTTCAGAAAACTTATTCACTTACTTCTTATTTTTCCAGAACTTTAACTTCCATTGCCTACTTACCATATAGTATCAATGTTATATCCTGACATGAATGAGGTGAATTACCTGGTATCTTATTATAGTTCTTGAAGTGTCAACAGTAAAAAGGTGTTCTTTCGTTAACTCTTTTTTGTCTAGGGGTATTCTTCATGTTACAATCAGGCAAATAGTAAAGTTTGGGAACTGCTACCAGATTGGTTAAATGATCATCAACTTCTGGTGAACTTCTGTCAGGAAACAGGAATAGTAAAAGAAGTCTTGTTTTATCAGAATAAAGTATAGACAGTTTCAAGGTGAAAGTCATAAGTTATTAACCGATAGAACTTAGCAGAGTCAAAGGATTTTTATTCAGAAATTCACTAGCTAACTATCCATTTCCATCATTTCACCAGAACTTCATAAAACCAACTTAATGAGAGTGTAAGGGGGGAGGGAGTTAAACTTGAAAACCAGTAATTTATTCTACCTTTTTTGTTTTATAGTATTTATGTACATCGATGAGCGCTACTATTAGATCCTTAACTTCAATGAATTAGCTATTCATTGAGTTTCGTCTTATCTAGGACTCGCCAGCCGGATATACCTGCCTCCCAGTAAGAGGTGTTGTTCCCACTAAGACTCTAACTCGGGACAAATCGCTTAAAACACTAGATCGTTGTCTACTAAATCAGCCCCGAGTTCGAGTCCCACTGGGAGGGAGGTACATCCGGATGACTCTCTTCAAATGGAAACAGACGCACATCCTGGACACCATTGTTAGCCACTATCCATCATCAATATTATTCACATTATGTTCGAATATGAGTGAAATATAAATTTACTAAAAAGAACAGTGTATATTAACTTTGACCTCAGTAAGACCGAAGAGTTTAGTAAATATTAAGTTCTAAGTGAAAAGTTAACACTATGCATGAATTCCAAGTACATCCAGGCATAAATTAGTTTGTTATGTAACTAGCATCCTAGTACGCTTTAGTCACATGTTTTGAGATTCATCTCCTGAAATGCCAGTTATTAACCATGATTTTCACTGCTGAGGAGTCCCACACTAGTGGGTTAAACAGCTGTTCAGTGCTACTAGGTTTTCAATGTTCCTCCAATTGATATCAGTCTATGATAAAAATGAACTTAAAGCATTCTAATGTAATGAATGGGCCATGACTTTATTACTCATTAAAATAACTACAACAAAAACGCAATTCATTTTGTTGAACAGCAGTTTCTTTTACTTTCTTCAAGTAGAGTATGATGTATTTAGAGTTGTATTGATCTTAGTGACTAGCAGAGGAATCCAGAATGCACGTTTTGTTCTATTTGGGATTCGTCAGCTGGATATACCAGTACCGAAGCATCTACACGGCAGCCTATCTGAGGTCAAGCAATTCAGCTTTGTATGGCAACGAGAAATCGCATGTATCATAACAGGGATGTATTTAAAGGCTCAGGAATATGATATGTTAATATTTTATTGACAGTGTGTATTTCTTGATTAAATTTGTCTTTTCTGGGGATTAATTTTAGGAAATTTACAATGTTATTGCTTCAGCTGCCGCAATTGCATCCGGCGTTCCCTTTAATCTATCTGGACCTCTCCCCAGTCTACCAGGAAATTATCCTTTGCCTCAACCACATCCACCTCCTTCAAATGATTTACTTATCTCAGGTTCAACCACACGTCTACTGAACAATGATACAGGACCTTTTCACAGTGAAAACTTACCTCATTTTTCTCATAATCATTCACATTTACCACCTAACTTTATATCAAATTCAGTAGGCTATCTTCCATGTCATCTGCCGAACTTGTCAACTTCTGGGGGAATTCGAGAAGAATCAAAATCAGATTTATTTTATCCATCAGCTTATTATCCTTCTTCATCATCATCTTCATCTTCAATATCTTCACAGCAGATAACAAAACTTTCACTCTATAATAATTGTTCTCCGACAGGATCAATATTTTCATCATCTGATAGAAGAGATTTTCATTTAACCAATTTTCTTGAAATTGATCATATGAAATCGGATAACAGTTTATCTTATCATCCCACTTCATTACCATTGATTAACAATTCAGTGTATAGTCCATCGGGAATCAACTTTAGAAGTCTACACCCACCAATGTTTGATGAATTGACGTGTAGACCAAATTTAGTATGAAGGCATGCTGAATACAATAATATGTTAATTCGTTCAGATCCTTTATTTTAAAAATACAATAACGCACTGATACACTTCAGTTGATCCGATGTATATATATATATATATATATATATATATATATATATATATATGCAATGGTTTGTACATAGTTCTCTACAGAAGTTGAATTTTAGTGCATAAATTATACCATGTATAAGAGTTCAGTATGTTCTAGAAAGAGATGGCCAAACAAATTTTGTGTAGATAATATCTTCATGCTCATATAAACCCTTACATATATAACAATGCACATAATTGCTAACCGATTTCCTTCGACTGGATTCACCTATCATACTATATTACTTTATTAAACTGACAGTAGTATATATATATATATATATCTGTGTGTGTGTGTGTGTTGGTGAATCTGACGTTAAGGTAGTTCCTTTCCTGGTTTCTTTAAATTTCTTTAAATTGTAAAGTTTAACCTTTTTTTCTGTTATGATTTTCGCTATAAGCTGTGATGTAAATGATAATAAAATACTTCTGAAATATATAGCGAATGTTATGTTAGATTGACTAGTTGAATCTAATTATACAGTTGGAAATTTATTCATGGATGGTGGCTAGCAGTGGAGTCGAGAATGCACGTTTTGTCTTAGTTAGGATTCATCAGACGAATGTATCTGCCTTCCAGTGGATGATTTTCTCCTCATTGAGAATCAAACGCGAGACCAGTTGTTTTAAAAGCCAGAGCTTTGTTCACTAGACAAGTGATTCGTGATAGCCGCTCCGTGTACAATGAGGTACAGTATAGTCTTTGATGTTATCACTTGTGAATCAAATTGAATATAACGGTGATAGTACGACAACTGTGCAAGAACCCATATGCCAGTAGTGACCAATGATTTCTGTCTAATGGACGACGGAGATTCACAAACTATAACATCAAGGAATACACTGTCTTTGTAGTCGTCGGAAGCTTTTAGCAATTCCAGTATACTTCCGTTATATATTCCTTCTGATCTCATACATTTCGTTATTGCTATTCCAATCCTTTTCTTAGTCATTTCTTCGTTTCAAGCCCATACGAAGGGTGGGCACTTAAACTAAACGGATGGAGATATTGGGATGAAGGTATGATAAACATCAACCTCGTTTACGTAACTAGTTCACTAGTTAACTAGCCGGTTCTAATACCAGATAAAGAGGAAAGGTTGGCCATGGGTCTAGTAACCCTACCCCGGGAAACCAATCCAATCACTCACTAAACTTCAAAGAACAAAAAGAATACAAAACATAAAATTAAACTTATTCCTCACTGTAATCGGAGAGAAGAAATGATGCCGGTTGGTGAAAGCCTTCGGGAACCCAACTGGCTGATGTCTTCTCTTCTCTCAATGATAGCGAAAGCAGAAATGAAGAAACGGAATGTCCAGACAATATTTGAACTTAGCAAGGCTGCACAGATTTCCAAAGAGATGAGAAGGTATAGCATAGAAGTGCTAGGCTAGAAATCTGTGAAAGCAGATGGAATGGCAGTGAACTCTCCCAACTGTCAACTGCAGAGCCAATAATCTACTCCTTCAGGATCAGGACCATGACACCAATTTTCAACTCAAAGGGAAGGAAAGTCCCAATCATACAGTGCTGCGCCACACACCTACAAATAATGCAGATCAAGAGAAGAAGGAGGAATTCTAAAGACAGATTCAATCAGTACTAGACAAGACTCAACCCCAGATGGAGACATCAAAATTCTAATCGAAGGGGTGACATAAACGCCAAACTCGGAGTGGACAACACAGGAAGAGAACTAACCATGGGTCGAGAGGCACCCTGTGAAATGATGAATGAGAATCGAGAACTGTTTGCCGACTTCTACGCATTTTTTGATTCCATGATTGCAGGCTGTGTGTACAAACACAAAGATATTCAAAAAGCGACATGGATTTCACCAGACACCACGACACACTAAAAACCAGATCAGCTTCATCTCAATCTCAAGAAAGTGGAGACACAGTCAGCCTACTTGACACAAGATCAGAAGAGGAGCAGATGTAGGTTCACACCACTCACTATCTAGTGCAAGGAACCGAGCTTCAAAATCAAGTTGAAAACCTTCAATTCAAGGGAGTTGGTGATAGACGACCACAGTCCAAGTACAACACCCAGAACAGAAAGTGAACTGAAGGACGAAACTACAGAGAAAATGTTCACGGCAACCAGCCATCAAGACAAAATGGGAGATATTGAGCAAGATCCCTGAAGAAAGCTGAGTGGAAGAACACAGGAAGTGTTTGAAAGAGATGTGGAGAGAAATCTGCACAAGTGTATTAGGAAGGAAGGAAGAAGAAAGAAGAAGATACGGAATGGATCTCGATGGACACATGGAAGTTGATAGATGAGGTAGAGGATGATGGTGATGGTGAAGCAGAAGATAAACCAGTGCAGTGCGAGGATACACAACGAGAAGAGGAACTGAGTACAATGTATGAATTACTACATTGGACAAAGAAGTGAAGAAGAGTGCACGCGAAGACTAAAGACACTTCTACGACACACAGGCAGGTGAAGCAGAACAGGCAGAAGGGTGCAGGTAGGAGAGATAGAGAGAGACCTGACGACATTGTATCAAATAACTAGGTTACCATCTGTGAGGGAAGAGGTCAACACAGATGAAACGAATGAAAGATAGTGAAGGAAAGTTAGTTACCAGAGAGGAGAAACAAAGGAAACGATGGGCTGATCACTACAATAAAGTCTTGAATTCACCACCTCCACCACCACCTGCAGCTCGTCCAGAAATAACCACAAGCAGCAGAACCACAGAATTACCATTGAACAAAAGACCTCTGGAAAAAGCCGACGTCCTGAACGCCATAAAGCTTTTGGAATCCGGGAAAGCAGCAAGACCAGAAGAACTAAAAACAGACGCACAGATAACAGCCGACACGCTCACATCAACATTGCGAAAGGTTTAGGAGGAAGGAAAGTCACCTGCAGATTGGAAGAAAGTCAACCATATCAAACTCCCAAAGAAGGGCGAAATAAGCTAAGTCTTTCCAAGAAATGGCGCGGAATCATGCTACTGTCCACTGCAAGCAAGAAATTAATCCGCATCATCATGGAGAGACTGAAATATGCGCTGAATTCAAAATTACTACCAGAACAGACTAGCTGGATTCACGAAGAACAAATCATCCACGCATCAAATTACAATGATTATACAACAGAGTATAGAATACCAGTCAACTCTACACATCATCTCAACTTCATCAACTTCGAAAAGGCCAGTGTTCAACAGCATCAACCGACAAGTAAGTTGACAGGCAGCTGCTTAACACACTACGGTTTATGTGCCACAAATCTTTATCAACATCATTCACCACCACATATATGCTATATGATGCAACATGCCACGTGCCACATGCCAAGTGATTCACAATGGAAAGCTCAGTGACGCCTTCGAATCGAAGACAGGAAGGAGATGGGAGTAAGACAAGGTTGCCACCAACTACCAACCACCAACCATCACCCATCATCTGCTTGATTGTGGTGGACTAAATCATGCAAGAGACAACTGTGAGGAGTTGTGAGAAGATGGGTATACACTGACTGGACCTATGGAAGGACCAGAGAAAAAGATTTGCATTTCGCTAATCATCATTCATGTCTAATGTCTTATGTCACACAAACTCGAAGATCTACAAGTGAAAACCAACAAGTTGGCAGAAGAGGCGAGACTAAGCGAGGTGAGGCGAGGCACCGAAGGAAGATGGAACTTGCTTCACGTGAATGTAGAGAAGACACAGGTGATGCAGATACCCAAATTAACACAACCGACCAACCAACAACAACATCAACAACAAGCTCCAATCACCATCAGTGGGTGAAACCTAAACGAAGTAGTCTCTTTCACCTACCCAGGTGACATCGTCTCAAATACAGGTAGTGGCACAGATGGGGATATCAAAACAATCCAGATTCGGAAATACAGTGAGACAGGCATTCCTCCATTAATCTGAAATGATCAGTGTGGAGATCTACTCTACTCTACTCGACTCGACTCGACTCGACTCCATTCCACTGCACTGCACTGCACTGCACTGCACTGCACTGAGCATAAAGCGTGAATAACATCCGGATTTTCAACACTACTAATATCAGTCGAGTCAGTCAAGTCAGTGAGTCAGTGAGTCAGTCAGTTAGTCGGTGCCTCTATGTGATGGTTGACAGACTTGGTGGTGCGTTACGCAAAACATTTGCAATAAACTACACACATACATCATCATCATCAACTGCCACTGACTACACTCACTCGATAGTGGAGATGGAAATCAGATGGTGAGAATAATAAGAATGAGCAAGAAGGAACTGACTGTGGCTGGCTGACTGACTGACTGACTGACTGACTGACTGACTGACTGGCTGGCAACTATCCAATCGAGAACCCATCTCCCAACGAATATGCAGAAGAAGGTGGACATGGATTGGATTGGATTGGATTGTGCATACACTGAGAAGACGGATGGTTTGGGGACATCATGCGTCAGGCCAGATCAGGTCAGGCACTCGAGTGTAACCCAAATGGTGCATGACGATTTTGGCGTGTGAGTCGAGGGTGACATGGAGGAGATGGTGTGAGGAATAAATGAAAGCTTGTGGGTAGTTGTGGAGCCAGGTTGTAAATAGTTCAGAGAAGAGAGTGAAATGAGGACTTGCTATTCAAGGGACAAATTATAAGAAAAAGAATAAAGTTTTGATCTCTAACCTGATGATGAGAGTGGCCTGTCAAGCAGTTTCTGTTTAGGAAGAGATAAGTATTCATTGTTCCAAGGTCTTCCATGGTTCTCTAAAAAATGTCAAATTATGATGAAAGTTAGTTTAAAATCGATGAGTTCTTCACTGTCACCAATCTTGTTTGATGCAATTCCATAATCAGTTTATAGGTGAACACTACTCAGATAGTGAAACAGAAATTTTTGTCACATTCTAGCTGCTATTATGTGACTAAG